GCGCCCTCAAGATGGCTGGGCTGGGGGCGGGCGAGCAGGCAGCAAAATGGCTGGGAGCTCCCCGGCATCCTCCACGAGGCCCTGCCCGTCCCGGGGTGAGGGCAGCTGCCTGCTTATGCAACTCATCCTCCTCCCCACTGACCCGCAGGACCGGGATCCCAGCCCCGTGGGGGTCCCCGGTCCCCGCAGGATGAGGGTGCGTGGCAGATGGGGGGGGTGTGGGGGCCCAACCCGGCTGCGCGTGACTCAAGCCCCATCCGCTCGCAGCCACCGCCACCATGACGCACCAATACCCCGCGCTGACGGCCGAGCAGAAGAAGGAGCTGTCGGACATCGCGTTGCGTATCGTGGCCCCCGGCAAGGGCATCTTGGCCGCCGATGAGTCCGTAGGTCAGTGGAAAGCGGGGGGAATCTGTCCCGTCGCCCCTTTTTCCCCCCACGCCTGAGGCTGATGAGGGTGCCGGGTGCCCGCAGGGAGCATGGCGAAGCGCCTCAACCAGATTGGGGTGGAGAACACGGAGGAGAACCGCCGGCTGTACCGCCAGATCCTCTTCAGTGCCGACAGCCGGGTTAAGAAATGTATCGGGGGGGTCATCTTCTTCCACGAGACCATGTACCAGAAGGCTGACGACGGCACCCCCTTCGTCCAGATGATCAAGGACAAGGGCATCGTCGTGGGCATTAAGGTGTGGGGGGTGTCCGGTGGGTTTGCGGGGCGCTGAGGGTGCTTGGGGGGTGCTGGTGGGGCTCAGCGCTGCCTTCCTCTTCTCGCCGCAGGTGGACAAAGGCGTCGTGCCGCTGGCCGGGACGGATGGCGAGACCACCACGCAAGGTAGGTGGAGTGGGTAGCGGGGTGGGGGCCTTGAGGTTTGGGGCTGCGGGGCTGACGCACTGCCCGGCAGGTCTGGACGGGCTGTCGGAGCGCTGTGCCCAGTATAAGAAGGATGGGGCCGACTTCGCCAAGTGGCGCTGCGTGCTGAAGATCAGCGACAACACCCCCTCCGCGCTCGCCATCATGGAGAACGCCAACGTCCTGGCCCGCTACGCCAGCATCTGCCAGCAGGTACATGTCTGTGGCCGGGCATTGCCCCACGGGTTGGGCATTGACCCATAGGGATGGTTGTTGACTTAAGGGGCCACGTATTGCCACGCGGGGATGGGCACTGATCCACGGGGCTCAGCATTGGCCCCGTGCCTGGTAATCACCCCACGGGGCTGGGTATCAACCTGTGGGCTTGGTAACACCTCACGTGGATGGGCCCTGACCCCCAGGACGAGGCATTGCCCCGTGGGTTGGGCATCACCCATGGGACCAGGCGTCAATCCATGGAGCTGGGCACCACCCCACAAACATGGGCATTGCTCTATGGGGCCAAGAATAGACCTTCCCAGGCTGGGCATCACCCCGTGGGGCTGGGCATCACCCCACTGGGATGGGCATCACTGACAAGGGTGGACATTGAACCTGGAGGTTGAGCATTACCCCCCAGGTCCAGGCATTGGCCCACATTGCCATGGGGCCAGGTGATGCCCAGGGACATCCCCATGACGGCATCTGCCTGGTGTTTGCAGAACGGCATCGTGCCCATCGTGGAGCCGGAGATCCTGCCTGATGGTGACCACGACCTCAAGCGGTGCCAGTATGTGACGGAGAAGGTGAGCGGTGGGGCAGGCAGCAGGGTGGGCATCTTGCCGTGCTGTGCTACGCTGTGCCGGGAGACACCACGCTGCCCATCCTTCCCAGGTGCTGGCAGCTGTCTACAAGGCACTGAGCGACCACCACGTCTACCTGGAGGGGACCCTGCTGAAGCCCAACATGGTGACCCCCGGGCACTCCTGCCCCACCAAGTACAGCCCCGAGGAGATCGCCATGGCCACTGTCACTGCCCTGCGCCGCACTGTACCCCCAGCCGTGCCAGGTACCAGCACCGGCACGTCGCGGGGACCAGGAGGGGGATGCCCTGTGGACATCCCGGTGCCATAACCCCGCTCTCTGCAGGTGTCACCTTCCTGTCCGGGGGTCAGAGCGAGGAGGAGGCTTCCATCAACCTCAACGCCATCAACACGTGCCCGCTAGTGCGGCCATGGGCCCTCACCTTCTCCTACGGGCGGGCGCTGCAGGCATCGGCGCTCAGCGCCTGGCGTGGGCAGCGGGACAATGCCACCGCCGCTACCGAGGAGTTCGTCAAGCGCGCAGAGGTGATGGGGACGGCCCCCCTGCAGGAGAGGGGTGCTGAGGTTCTGCGTCCCCTGGGGTGGTGGGGACACCGAGGGCTGCGTCCCCATGGGAGGGGGTACGCTGGTGGCTGTGCCCCTTGGGATAGGGGATGGCGAGGACCATGTCCCACGGGGTGACAGGAGACACCAAGGGTTGTGCCCCACAGGACAAGCGATGCCGAGGACCATGGTCCCCATGGAGGGGACACAGTACTGTCTCCGTGGGGGACAGTGAGGGCTGCGTTCCCACGGGGGAATGGGGGATGCCAAGGGCCACGTGGGATGGGCCATGCCCCCTCGGGTGACACGGGACACCGAGAGCTCTGTCCCTGTGGGAGGAGGGATGCCAAAAGCCGTGTCCTGTGGGGTGACAGGGACACACCAAGGGTTGCGCCCAGTGAGATGGGGGACACCGAGGGCTCTGTCCCCATGGGAGGGGGATGCCAAGGGCTGCGCTGTTGCAGGGGCACAGGGGATGCCAAGGACCGTGTCCCCACGAGCTGGGGGACCCTGAAGGCTTTGTCCCCAGGGACTGGGGGACCCCAAGGGCCATACCCCACAGGGGGGGGGGGGGGGGCACACCCCACGGGGGGCCGCTGACATTTCCTTTTCCCGCAGGTGAACGGGCTGGCAGCGCTGGGCAAGTACGAGGGCAGCGGGGACGACTCGGGGGCCGCCGGGCAGTCCCTCTATGTGGCCAACCATGCCTACTGAGCCCCGGCCGGGTGCCCCACCGGC